GAGATCTGCTGCGCCAGGTGTCCCTGACTCAGTCAGGCTAGGTGGGGATCCATAGCAGCCCCCTAGCAGCCACCAATCAGCATGAGACAGGGAAATACCGGGGATGCCAGATAACCCTCCCAGCAGTTTATGGTGGATGATAACAAGTTGGGAAACCATGTAGTTCAGCACATACACCCCTCTTGGCTTAAACCAATTAGTTCAAATGAATACCCCTTTTGTACTGACAATCACCCCTACCCAACTTGTTCCCGCCAGTGAATGTGCTAATCATGTTTTAGAGTTGTTATTTGATTTTCCCGCGGTGTGTGATGATTTGCTATGATGTATAGTGAAGTCCCTGCCCTCTCCAAAGAATGTATAAAACTGCTGCAAACCCTGGGCTCGGGGCCTCTCAGCGTCATCAGTTGCTGTGTGTGTGCGCGGAGGACCAAGCTAGCTCGCAATAAACACCTCTTTGCTGCTTACATCGATCTTGGGTCTCTGGTGGTCTTTGGGGGTCCCGAATTCAAGCATAACACATCCTCTGCTGTTTTTATCTTTTAAGAGAAAGTCTCACTAAGTTGCATGTGGCCTCATTAAATTACTGAAGCTAAACTGAAACTTGTGATCCTCTTGCCTCAACCTCCTGAGTAGCTGGAATTACAGACATTTTAGAGATTGATAATGGTCAATTGCATAGAGGTAGTAAACAAAGCTGGCTGACTTTCACAATCACTAACTCTATTTTGAAATCTTACGTTGAAAGGAATCATGCTTTAAATATATATATATATATATATATATATATATATATATATATATATATATATATATTTTACTTGTAGTTGGACACAATAAATTTATTTTTATTTATTTATTTTTTATTTTTATGTGCTGATGAGGTTCTAACCCAGAGCCTCTCATGTGCTACGTGAGTGCTCTGTCACTGAGTCACAACCCCAGCCTCCCCCCCCCCTTTTTTTTTTTAAATTTTAGGGCAAGACTGTCCTTGGAGATTATGTTCACACTTATTTTCTATATGGTATTGTTTTCCTGAAATAAAATCAAGAGTCTCAAGATCTTTTATTGAAAATAATTCATGAAGAAATCTATGAGAGAAAGAAGCCACAGTGTGGGTTTTACTGTCACAATTTTTGTCACAAAGATCCAAGGAGGAGTAGTTTTTACCATTGGGAGTCTAAGAACACACACAAAAGTATAGACTCCATCACAAAGTTTCATCTTAACCATGCAGGACCAAGTGAATTCTGCTTTGAAGTGGGTTTATAATTTGGCCCCTCTAGTGATAGAGCCCTAGCTGCTGCTAACACAAATCCCTAATATACCAGGCAGGAATGAGTCCCTGAAGCTACAAGTGTGCCTGGGGCAAAGAGTCAGGGTGGGTTCCAGTGAGGGGCAGAGGGCTACAGGTTCTGTTCCAATTCCCCAGCCTGAGGAAGGCTTAGCCTTTGACAAGTAGCACAGGGAGAGGCCAAGTGCTTTGGTCTGAGTTAGGGAATGTACCAGGAAGAGAAGGGAGGTATCTCCTGACTAGACCCCCATTGAATTGTACTATGACACTTTTACTTAACTAATCTGTAACTAACCTTAACTAATCTTTGTATGATTTAAAGGTTTGTCTTTTAATAATCTTCAGTATCTTTTGCATCCATTTCATAATTTAATAAGCTTCTTAATTGAATTACTTTTGATATCATTTGCATCCATTTTGCAGACTAAAATCTCAGTATATTTTTGTAGTTTTTGTGACTCTACAAATATTTTGCTAAAAAAGGCATTCCTTAAATTTTATTTCACTAGAATAATTTCCAGGAAGACACAGAAAGAAATGAAAATGAAAGATTAAGAGTCCTACACAAAATCTGTAAAATTATGTAGCATCATTATCTTTGTTTAGAGATTTAAAATCTGAATGATTCCACTTCAATGGGAAGCCATGTTTTCATTACTATAAACATGTACATAGATGTAAAATCCTTAATACTCTCTATCTCTTGGACTTATAAGGACATTTAATATGTCCTAGAACCTCTATATAATCTATTCCCTTTTGATTTCTAAGGGTTGCCTTGTTTCTAACTAAATGAATCTTTTTTTTATTTTTAAGAGAGGGGAGAGAGAGAGAAAGAGAGAGAGAGAGAGAGAGAGAGAGAGAGAGAGAGAGAGAGAGAGAGAGAATGTGTTTTAATATTTATTTTTCAGTTTTCGGTGGACACAACATCTTTATTTTATTTTTATGTGGTGCTGAGGATCGAACCTAGTGCCCCACGCATGCCAGGTGAGCACATTACTGCTTGAGCCACATCCCCAGCCCAAACTGGATCTTTTTATCTTGTACTATGAAAGAACAATATTTTTTTTTGTTCATAGAGTTTTTTTTTTTTTCTGGGAATGAATCTATGGAATAAAATTTTAAAAGTGGAACTTCTATGTCAAATAGTATATTTAAAATTGTTAGTACACATGACTATGTTGCATATTCAAGTATCCTACCAAACTCCTTCAAAAAACTAGTATTGAGGAACATATTTTTGCCAACTTTTTAACAACATGGATTATAATGAAAATTCCTTCTTTTTTATAGAGTAGTAATCAAATCCAGGGACTCATGCATGCTAGGCAAGTGCTCCACCCCTGACCTACATCCCTGGACCCTGTAAAAAAAATTCTTAACACTTTCTAATATACCATTTAAATGTGTGTTTCTTTTACTTTTCTTGTGTCTAACATTAATGAGGCTAGCCTTATCTTTCCTACTGAAGAAGCTAGTAGTATTATATATTTGTCTGAGGGAATTTGAAAAGAGTTCTGTAATTTTCAGCACTTTTCTAATTAATTTTGTGTGAATGCCATTGATTATATCTAATTGTCAATAATTAGTACATTCAAAAGCATTAAGTGTCCAGTTCTTATATACTTTGTTTCCTCTTTGTCTCATTCACATCCATTCATTTTTTTCTTCACTATTACTCATCCCAATCTGTTGTCTTGCTGAATTTTCAATTATGATTTCAAATCTTTGACCTCATATGGTTCCACTTAGCACCATAACAGTCAAGAACTCTGGATACCCAGTGTAATCTGAACTATCCTTTCCAGAATCCAGGTCCACACTGCCCCCAAGCATCATTACTTTTTCTGCACTAGGAGAAACACTCATGTACTTTTAAGGCAAGAACATACCAGCAGTCAGAATTGGGTGAAACCTTGGTGGAGGGAGGACATCACTGAATAGAGCTCTAGAGTACCAGAAGAAAATGTAGCAGAGGAAAAGATTCAGGAAGAAGAAACTACCTTGAGTCCAGGAAGAAGTCAGTGTCTGGAACTCCATTGGCAATAGAAGTCACTGTCCTAATCCTGGAGTTTGGGATCTATCAAAGTTGTGTGCAGTATCTGAAAAAAAAAAAAAAAAAAAAAGAAAGGTGGAAGGAAAGAAGGAAGGAGGAAGGGGGAAAGTGAGGGAGAGAGGGAGCCCTTTGAGATGAAATAAGAATGCCAAACTATGATTATATGAAAAGAGCTCAGGGTGAAAATTCAACCCAGGAGACCAATACCAAGTGCAAATACAAACATAAATATCAATCAAAGTGATTATACTTTCATATCTGGACTTAAAAACCTATGAAATACCATCTCATGTGTTGACTTAAAACCAAGCTAGGCAAGTGCTCCAGGGTGTAATGTTTCTGATGCAAATTGAAGTCATTCCTTGCTTTGATTCTGATCAAATAGGGTGCCATAATTATACAACTTATTGAATCCACTTTCTTCCCAGCGTTATATACTAAAGACCTTCGAACATTTAGCAGAGCAGAATCGTTTGCCATATATTCATTAGAATTATTTTACATAATTGTTCTTTTTCAGTTATTTCACTGGAGCAAAAATTTAGCTCCATTTTGATATTTTGTAAAATATCACTGAGAAACAGTACTCCAGCTGCCTGCGTACTAAATTAATTGTAAAGATAAATCTTGCAATATATGTCAGAGTAACACAGGCTTGTAATCTCAGTGACCTAGGAGGCTGAGGCAAAAGGATTACAAATTCAAGACAAGCTTCAGCAAGTTTACTAGATCATGTGTCAAAATAAGAACAAAAAACTACTGGAGATGTACCTTGTTATCTAAAAGTATTGAGGATGTATCTGATAAGGTTGTCAAAAACAGAGTATGATTTCAAGTTGAAACTTTTAAAAACTCTAGGAAAAGAAGGTTCCAATAAGGCCAGCTTTAGTAGAGTTCCTTGGAAGGCCCCTGGCAGCAAAATATTCTAGGTGAAGTCTTCTGGAAAATCTATGCCAATGGGTGAATACCTAAGCCCAGCGTTTGGAGGTCTAGATGCTGGGGTCTATAAAGAGGCCTCACAGTGAGTGCAGTCACGTGTGTAGTGGCAGCTGTAACTCAGACTGGGAGGCACCCCTGAAATAGCCTTGGGGAAAACAGATGACAGGTTGACACATAAGATCATTTCTCACATAGGTTCTCAAGGCTGCTCTGTGTCTGCTTGAAGATGTAGTGCTTGTAGAACACCCAATACAAAAGTGCCCTGTCTACCTGACCTGTACCCAGAAGATGCCACCAACCCACCATGCCAATAAGCAATGCAACAGCAATGAGGATGGGCCTTCTTAGATCTGAATATGGTCTCTCAGCACCTAGTGTTCTGAGCCTCCTGTTTCCCCAATACCCAGCAGGAGTACACTACACCCAAGAATTTCACATTTTAGCACAATTTTATTGAAAAAAACAAAAGAAACATGCACAATAGCTCTGAAGCCTCCATGGTGTAGAAGCAGACACAAGCATTACTGTTACAGAATCTGTTCCAAAATGCTCCTTTAAATAAGGGAAATCTCAGCACTGCTGGGCCCCAAAAGTTGCAGATTCAAGCAGTCTCAAGGAGTCCTGCACAGAAGGGCCTGGATCCACTCCCAGCAGCCTTGGCTGGTCCCATGGTGGCTTGCAGGGACAGGAGGAAGAGGACTCTTATAAGGATCACAACCACCAGAGGTCTTGGGCTCCAGACTTTCTGTCACAGGTGCACCTGGGACAAGACAAGGGAGCCCCATCAGGTGGTTGATGGCCAGACACCTGGGGCTTGGTCTGGGTTGTGAATTCCCTGTCCAGGACAGGAGGCTCTGTGTCCTGGAACAAGGTACCCTGTGCACTGGGAAAGTCACTTTGTTCAGACTGTTCCCAGCGAAGATGCCCTTGCAGTGTGGAAAGCAGGTTGCAGTCAAAGTCTTGGCTGTCATAGGAGCTTTCCTCTTGGTGGATATAGAAGGGCAACAGCCAGGGCCCAGGCGTCTGGTCTGCAGAATTCCAGGCCGGTGGCACATAGCAGGGAAAGTGCTGCCCCATGGCACTGTGGGACTCACAACAGGTACCACCAAGTATGTGGGACTCAGCAGGGAGTACCTTTTGCATTTTTATACTCCACTGGCCTCTTGGAAGTTCCAAACCACAAACTGAGAACCTGGGTGGTACTCACTTTAATCCTAAAAGAAACTCCCATCACAAAGCTCAATTAATGAAATAAACAACAACAAAAACCTATCATCTGTTAGTCTCTGTAATTGGGAGGGAATTTTGCTCCATGTAAGTAACATTTTTCTTCTTGGTTGTTAGCACAATACCTAGATTCTCACAACATGGTTTGGTTGTAACCCTTTTCCTACCCAAACTCTGCCTGAGTGGTAGAATACTTGTGACAAAGAAGACTTCTAAAAAGCAATTTAAAAATGGGAAATGACTTTTGGGTTTCATATCTGGCGCTGTAATCTGATTGTTATAGGACCTTATACCCCACTCCATCCATTTCATATCTTGAAAAATGAAATCCAATATGATAATAGGAAGATATGGGGGCTCTTTGGAGTACATTAGGTCAAGTTTCTTAATAAAGTTATTCATGGCCCATAGTGGAATTTTTTTTTTTTATGTGTGACAAGTTTATTGAACAGTATTCAGACTTCATCTTTATAAACAAAAGAAAATCTGCTGAATGATGCCAAGGCAGTATTTGCTGGCAATGCTGGGCACATATGGTCTATGAGCCATTTTACTGTGGGTAGTTTCTAAAGTTTGGACTACTAATAGAACTGCCAGTAAAACAATTTAAATGTGGCAATTTTATGAGGGTGGGAAATAATTTTTAAAGCAATCACTGCCAGAAATTCTCTCCAAAAAGTATAACTAGCAGCAACTTTTACATTTTCTTCACTTGTTTAAGTGTTCTCAAAATTAAGTGAATTTTCTTTTTACACACTTGACCCACACCTGTGCACAATCATAGAATCCAGAAAAATGGAGTGAGTTTAAGTCATGCTTCCTCATTTTTATGCAAGGTGACTCTTTCCACCTAAAAAGTACATGTTTGATTACTTCCATACAGTCCCAGATTTTCATCTGGTGAGTTAAGACTGACCTTAACTATATTAAATATTATTACTATATGAAATTCTGAATAACAAGTTTCCTAATTGAATTTTAATTGTCAATGTTTTAACAACTTGGAATACAAAGTCAGGACTACATTTCGCTTAACACTGTGTTGCATTAAAAAACAAAAACAAAAACCAGCCACTAATAATTGTATATCCAAGCTACAGTGTAAACACAGAACATACCTCCAAATTAGGCTTGTAAATTAAATCTTTCACTAAATTTCAGAAAAGTTACAAATTTGCTTATTTATTTTGTAGTTTCTCTAATCCTTTAAACCCAAAGAAAAATGAATAATAAAAACTCAGTAGGAGGAAAAAAAAATAAACCTAATGGAAAAGATGCTCTTCCATTAATGTTAAAGTCACCTAACACAGACAATAAAATTTACACATAAAATTGAGAATACTATGATAGTGCTTACAAATGCACACAACTTTGAGCAAAACTTTACAATCCTTCATACCATACAAAGCAAATAAGAAAATAATATAAATTCAATTCTACACCAAACCTAGTTCTTAGGAGAAAATTTGTAAGAAGAGAGGTATGGATGGTTTCACAGAACACATTTTCAAGAATTTTTTAAACCTGAAACTCCAATGCTCAGAAGATAAACAGTATGTTTAGCAGTTAGCACTATGTTAATAAGTCTCAGTTACACAAAAATCAAGTTCTAAGACAGCAATTTAATTACATTTCACAACAAGCACTGATGTGGCTCAATGAAATATGAAACATAGTTCTTTCCAATTGCTACAGAAACCACTATTAAATTTATTTACTTTGATGAACAATGAAATCAAATTCTCCTTTTCAGCATTTACCTAAGATGTAGAAATAATAAAGTAAGTGCAATAAAATGTATGAAATATTTAATAAGAATGTATGAGCACATAAGCAAAATAAATTGTGAAAAAAGGACTTACATCTTCAAACAACCCATTTTTTTCTAAAATAGAAATAGTTAGCTTTCCAATGGGGAAAATTATCTGTGGTTAAAACAAGACTCCCAAGCAGCACTGAAGTTTTTCCCATTGTCTTTGGAATGAGAAAAGATTACTTAACAGCTTAAATTAAACAGCATATATAAACATTACGTTGCTTTTTAAGTTGAGGAAGCAGTATCTAGTGATCTTTCATATCAAATTTGTGTTCATGAATTATCAAAAAGACCCACAATGCAGCCACCTCTTCTTTGAGTTTGAACAATCCTTTCCCTAAAACAAAACTCCTGTACTGTCATCCTCTGATTGTACACAATGTTCACAAGTGAAACTGTTGCTACTCTAAATTATAGGGCAACACTTTATTTCAGTGTTCTACTGATTTGCAACACCAAAAAGGCACTACATAATTTTTAACAGGATATACTTCTTTTAAAGGTCAGATCTCTATAAGTACATTGATTTGTAGGAAACGTTGGGGATGTTTTAAACCAAGGCAAGAGAGCAATGTAAAAGATAAAAATTTGTTTTTCATGATAATTCCCCAGTCTTCCATTCTGTACATTAACAATATAATGTGACATATCTTTAGAGAATTTAAACTAAGGGGGGGAAAAAGCCCTAAGTAGAGCTGTTGAGAGCCACAGCCGAAGGGGCCCCAGCAAACTTCCAGCTGCCAGCAAACTTCCAGCTGCCGGCGGATTGGCTCCTCTGCTGTGATGCTCATTGGGCTGTTTCCCTGCCCTTTCAGACCACGGAGCTGCTCATTGGGGGACTTTTTTGGTTCCACCCACATGACCCAGCCAATTGGCCTGGAGAGCAGGAGGATTGTGGGAGGTGGAGAGAAGCTTGTGTGGGAGAGAGAGGCTTGTGGAAAGCCGGTGGTGGCAGTTGAGGCTCTGAGGGTTTTTCCTGAGAAGCTGTTTTGTTTGGCGTGTGTGGTTCTAAAAATAAAGTTAGTTTCTTTTGACAAGTGGCTCCTGATTGTGCCCAGCCAGACTGCGGCATTAGGTGGCCCGTACGGGGAGCGACTGAGGGTAAGTGAAACTGCTCGCCCCTGAGGGCAGGGCGAGAGGATGGGTAGCCATTTTAAGATTCCTCTTTTATTTTGCTTCACTTTTGTTTGAAGTTGCCTGTCCCTGGAGATGAGTGAGATGGAAGAAAAACCGCTCACATCTGAGGAAAAACTATTTAAGTCTGAGGAACAGATAGGGAGAAAGGACGGATGCACATGTCAGGAGGATAGAAAGGCTATAATGACTTTTTGTTGTTCCCTTTTTATTTCATTCTGTCTCGGTTTTGTTTGGTGTCATCTTGTTGGGTTGTATCATAGTAGAAATATGGGATCAGAAATTAGTAAAAAACAAACTGAAAGAGTGTTAAGTAAATTGTTAGAGGAAGCAGGCATCTCAGTAAAATCAAGAACAGTCAGGGCATACGTTGATACAATACAAAAATGTAGCCCATGGCTTTTTAAGGAGCAGTTGTTAAATATATAACAATGGAACCATCATGGTGAAGATTTAAAAAGAATAGAAAAGAAAAGCCCAGGGACTCTGCCAGTTGGCACATTGCCATTGTGGATGTTCATATCTTGTTTGCTTAGTCCGAAGCCTTCAGTTCAGACAATGGTAGAGGAAGGAGAAGACATATTGATTCAAGTAAAAGAGAAGGTCTCTCAAGTTAGTCAGACAGAGGAAAAGATTCAACTAAAAGAGAAGACCTCTCAAGCTAGTCAGACAGAGAAAGAAAGTGTAAAACAGAAAAAGCCATCAGGGGGAAAGTTACAACAGGAGACTGCTTCTAACACCTTTCTATCACCAGAGGGTGTAAGTGTCCAACCAACAGCACCACCTCTACAGGAGACTGCTACTAACACCTTTCTATCACCAGAGGACATAAGTGTCCAAATAACAAGGCCACCTCCATATGCTGGGAGGTCCCCAACCCCTGCAGTTGATACTTGGGATCCTGAGACAAGATCTCAAATATTAACATGCCCTGTATTTGAGGCAGGAGGGCAGCGATTTTACCATGTTTTAAATTTCAAAACAGTGAAGCAGCTAAAAGAGGCTGTAACAACCTATGGTCCTCAAGCACCCTTCACTGTAAGCATGGTCGAATCCATTAACAACTTGAACATGACGCCAGCAGACTGGGCTAATATGTGTAAAGCTGTGCTAAATGGAGGACAATGCCTGTTATGGAAGGTTGCCAATGAGGAATTTTGCAAGGAGACGGCTAGGCGAAATGCAGCAGCTGGTTATCCTCAGAGAAATCTAGATATGTTGTTAGGAAAGGGACCTTATGAGGATCAGCAGCAACAAATTGCATATGATCCTGGTGTATATGCACAAATTGCTGTAGATGCAATTAAGGCATGGAAGACTTTACAAGGACATGGAGGTTTACAAGGTCAATTATCTAAGGTAATACAAGGAGCTAATGAACCTTATGCTGAATTTGTAGATAGGCTTATTCAAACAGCTACCAGAGTTTTTGGGAATACAGAACAAGCAATGCCATTACTAAAACACCTGGCTTATGAGCAAGCGAATCGTTGGTGCAGAGATATCATTAGACCATGGAAACATGAAGATTTAAACACATATATTAAATTATGTAGAGACATTAATGAACAAGGGCAAATTGTGGCAGCTGCAGTAAAACAGGCTTTAGATGCCAGAGACATTAATAAACAAGGGCAAATTGTGGCAGCTGCAGTAAAACAGGCTTTAGATGCCAGGCCAAGAACATGCTACAATTGTGAACAAACAGGACATTTTAAAAGGAATTGCCCCATTGGAGGAGGGTTTAACAAAACTAGGTATCAAAGGAATAGAATACCAGGTATTTGCCCACGATGCCGTAGAGGGAGACATTGGGCTAATGAATGCCGTTCTCAAACCACCATAGAGGGTACTCCATTATCAAAAAACGAACAAGGACCAGGTGTTTATCCACGATATCGTGGAGAAAGGCATCGGGCTCCATTGCCAAAAAATGGACAGGGGGGCCCAATGCTCCGGGGCCCAAAACCACAAATATACGGAGCACTGGAGGAACCCAGCAACGCCATCAGGGTAGTGCCCAGGACACATTGTCCATCAGATCCCTCATCAGACAAACCAGAGGGAGCGCAGGGTTGGACATCTGCACTTCCGCCAGAGCAGTACTAACTCCAGAGATGGGAGTTCAAATCATTCCCACAGGGGTGAAAGGACCTCTTCCCAAAGGAACAGTAGGCTTATTATTGGGACGCAGCTCTTCTACTCTAAAAGGACTTATGATAAGTCCTGGGGTAATTGATCCTGATTATGAAGGTGAAATAAAAATTATAGCCAGCTCTCCAAAGGGTATATCAGTAATTTCACCAGGAGATAGAATAGCAGAGTTACTAATAATACCCAGCCTATATGATAAATTTTCCAGTCGTACTGTAGAAAGAGGTTCCAAGGGATTAGGCTCCACAGGTGTAGATTGGGCTATGCTTTCTTTAAATTTAGATTCTCGCCCCATGCTGAAACTAAATATTCAAGGACATGAATTTAATGGGCTATTGGATACAGGTGCAGACCTTAGCATCATCTCTCGTCAAGAATGGCCAAAACATTGGCCATTACAACAAGCCACTCAAATTCTTCGAGGCCTAGGAGTGGCAACTAATCCCCATAGAAGTGCAATGGTATTAGATTGGAAGGATCCTGAAGGATGTGAAGGAACTATACAGCCATATGTATTGGATCATCTTCCCTAAATTTATGGGGACGAGATGTCCTAGATCAATAAGATTTGACATTAACAAATAACATCAACCAAAATGCACCCACTATTATGACTAGACAAGGTTTTAGGAAAGGAAAAAGATTAGAAAAACAAGAACAAGGTATAGCAGCACCAATACAAATAGATCAAGGAACAGACAGACGTGGGTTGGATTTTCAGAAAGGGCCACTGAGACAATAAAAATTACTTGGAAATCAGAAAGACCAGTATGGGTTCCTCAGTGGCCCCTGACTAAAGAAAAGATACAAGCAGCCCATGACCTGGTCAAACAACAATTAGCGGAAGGACATATACAATCTTCTGTATCTCCCCATAATACTCCCATTTTTGTCATCAAAAAGAAATCTGGTAAATGGAGATTATTGCAAGATTTAAGAGCCATTAATAATGAGATGGTTATTATGGGACCTGCTCAATCAGGGATTCCTCAGTTGTCTGCTTTGCCAAAAACCTGGTATGTTTTAGTTATAGATATTAAAGATTGTTTTTTTTTCAATTCCAATTCATCCTGAGGATAGTCCACGTTTTGCATTTACTATCCCTGCACTGAATCATGAAGGTCCTGATCAGAGATATGAATGGAAAGTACTCCCTCAAGGGATGGCTAACAGCCCAACTATGTGTCAAATTTATGTTAACAAACTAATCCAGCCACTTAGAAATCAAAATCCTGAACTACAAATATTTCACTATATGGATGATGTATTATTAGCACACAAAGATAAAAACACATTGCTAGAATGTTATGCCACACTTACAAACTTATTAAAAATTATAATCTAGAGATAGCAATAGATAAAGTACAATTAAATTTTCCAATTAATTATTTAGGAGTTCTATTATCCTCAACCATGGTCCGTCCACCAAAAATTCAAATACGAGTAGATCAACTCAAGTCACTTAATGACTTTCAAAAGTTATTAGGAGACATAAATTGGATAAGGCCTTATTTAGGTATACCAACAGGAGAGTTGGGACCTTTATTTGATATCCTAAAAGGTCCATCAGATCCAAATTCACCCCGAATGTTAACGCCTGAAGCAAGAAAGGCATTAAAAATCATTGAAACATATATGGAAAATATGCATTTGGATAGAATTGATATAAGTTTGCCTTTATTATTTATTGTACTACCAACAAAAAATATTCCTACAGGAGTATTTTGGCAAGAAGGTCCATTATTATGGATACATTTATCTTATTCTCCTAACATTATTCTTACTAGGTATCCTGAGGCTGTAGGACAATTAATACTCAAAGGAATAAAAGCAGCGAAGGGAGTGTTTGGAATTTCTCCCAATAAAATTATTACTCCATATACTATGAATCAAATTGATGAGTTAGCTAATGAGTTAAATACTTGGGCAATAATCATGTGTAAATCTAATGTTTCATTTGATAACCACTTACCATCTAATCCTTTATTGTCTTTTTGGTCTTCAAATCCTGTAGTTTTTCCAAAAATGACAAGAAAAACACCTATCATGAATGCTCCAAATATATTCACTGATGGGTCAAATAATGGTACAGCAGCAGTAGTTACCCCTGATCAAACTTTTACATTTTTAGTACCCAAACAATCAGCTCAAAGGGTAGAGCTTAATGCAGTATTACAAGCTTTTGTGATGTTTCAAGATTCTGTATTTAATTTATTTTCTGATAGTCAGTACATAGTTAATGCTATAGTATCCCTTGAAGATGCTGGTAGGATTTCCCCTTCCTTTACTATTTTCTCTCTGCTTTCCACTATAAAAGTCTAATCTGGGACAGAAAAGATCCATTATTTATAGGACATATCAGAGCACATACAGGATTGCCTGGAGTCTTTAGTTTGGGCAATGATTTAGCAGATAAAACTACACATGACATACATATTTTCTCTACACTAGAAGAAGCTACAAATTTTCATAAAAGGTTCCATGTCAATGCTAATACTTTACAAAAGTGTTTTAAAATAACTAAGGAACAAGCTAGACAAATAATAAAACAATGTCAAAATTGTATGACCTTTTTACCACAAGTTAATCTTGGAGTCAATCCTAGAGGACTGATACCTAACCATATTTGGCAGATGGACATCACACACTTGCCAGAATTTGGAAAATTAAAATATTTGCATGTTACAGTTGATACTTCTTCCAGATTTTTGATGGGCTCCCTTCATGCCGGAGAAAAAACTAAAGATATTATAGCTTATTGCTTACAAAATTTTGCCACTGTGGGCATTCCAAAGCAGTTAAAAACAGATAATGGTCCTCGTTATACTTCCACCTTTTTTAAACAATTTTGCTCATTATTTGGCATTACTCACATAACAAGAATTCCATACAATCCGCAGGGACAAGGCATAGTTGAAAGAGCTCATCAAACTATTAAAATGTACTTATTAAAGCAAAAAGATGGAATTGGGAAGGGGTATATATTCCCCAAAGATAAACTTAAAATAACCCTTTTTACTCTAAACTTTTAAAATTTGGATTCATCAGGACTTAGTGCTGCGGAAAGGCATATGTGTTCAAAAAATGTGCATAAGCCCAAGGTACTTTGGAAGGATATTCTAACAGGACAATGGAAAGGTCCTGACCCAGTAATTGTCTGGAGTCGGAGTTCTGTTTGTGTGTTTCCACAAGGAGAACAGCAGCCGATTTGGATTCCAGAGAGATTAACCAAAGTCCTGACCCAGTGATTGTCTGGAGTCAGGGGTCTGTTTATGTGTTTCCACAGGGAGAACAGCAGCCGATTTGGATTCCAGAAAGATTAACTAAAGCGATTTCTACAGACCAAAAAGAAGATGATTTGGCTCAAATCCATAACAACTGATATCCAAAACTCCAGTTTGGCTATTCTTACATCTGCAACAGAACCAGGATGCTTTTTTCAATATCTATTTTATTATTGCCCTTTGCCATATCATGAAGTTCTATTTTGTTTTTTGAGCTCATACAGACCTAGGTTAATGTTTTGCCGATCAGTTCTATTTTTTGACTATAGAGTTTTTAAACATTGCAATGGAGATTTCACCTGTAAAAAGTTATAAGGCCTTTACTATAATGTTATGTGTTGTATGTATTATATTATGTGTGCACACTTGTGTTTTGTGTTATATGTTTGAATGTACGTATGTCCATATATCATATACGATGAGCGCTCATGATAAAATGGATCCAATTTTTTTTTCACGTGATTTATATGGTTTAATTTGAATTGGGTAAACAACTGTTGAGGATTGTTTTAATATGTAAACAAAAAAGAAGGTTAAAAGATCTGTTTGTTTACTTTCACCTTTCCTTTTCATTATATTTAATAATTCTCTTGAAGACAATGTAAACTGTTAAGAAAATTGTTTTCTTTTAGTGCCTTCTGTAATGTTACATAATTTTTTCTTTAAATTTAAAACATGGTAAAATCGCTGCCCTCCTGCCTCAAATACAGGGCATGTTAATATTTGAGATCTTGTCTCAGGATCCCAACTATCAACTGCGGGGGTTGGGGACCTCCCAGCATATGGAGGTGGCCTTGTTATTTGGACACTTATGTCCTCTGGTGATAGAAAGGTGTTAGTAGCAGTCTCCTGTAGAGGTGGTGCTGTTGGTTGGACACTTACACCCTCTGGTGATAGAAAGGTGTTAGTAGCAGTCTCCTGTTGTAACTTTCCCCCTGATGGCTTTTTCTGTTTTACACTTTCTTTCTCTGTCTGACTAGCTTGAGAGGTCTTCTCTTTTAGTTGAATCTTTTCCTCTGTCTGACTAACTTGAGAGACCTTCTCTTTTACTTGAATCAATATGCTGGGGATAGGGAAGCTCTCTAATCATCAATTGCTGGATGTGGGTGGTAAAACTGCCAGCTGCAAGATGTCTGATGATCCTGATAACCGCAGGATGTTCCAGGGAGATAGGTAGCTGCAGGATGTCTCCCAGGCAGGATGTCTCCCAGGGGGCTGTTTCTTGTAAATGTCAGGCTATTCTTTGAAGGAGAATTTCCTTCTAGCCCCTGACAAGGCCTAGCATCTCCAAAGGCCCCTCCTAATCCTGGAGGAGGCAGTGGTGGCCCAAGGGCATTTGATCCACCAGAATTACCAGGGAAGTTGAATGGAGGTCCATTGTTGGCCTCCTTTGATCCTACTGTCAGGAAAGCATGTTCTTCACCTCTGGCACCGGGGCATTCCTGCACCAGGCATTCCCGCAGCAGGCAGGTCCGCACCAAGCAGTCCTGCAGTGGGCATTCCTGCACCAGGTATGCCAGCACCAGGCATTCCTGCAGAGGGCATTCCCACAGAAGGCATGCCCGCAGTGGGCATGCCAGCACAGGGTATTCCCACAGCAGACATACCAGCAGTGGGCATGCCTGCAGCAGGCATTCCTGCACTGGGCATTCCTGGTACTGCAGGATTACCCAGGACAGGCATCTTTAGGCCCTTTTTTCCTTGGGCAGGGGGATTTTTCTCAATCTCCATCTTTTCTTCTAGGGTAACTACATGAACAAATGCTTTTCTCCCATTAAGTTTTTTTACGGTGTAAGTGTTCAGACTTATATGCATCTTCTTCATTTTTAAACTGTACCAATGCTTGTCCTAGACCTTGCCCATTGTTATCAACAAGAACATGTACTGCATTTTCATCCACTGGGATTCTTTCCAGGAACTGCAGAACATCCATCTTGGTAATGCTGAATGGAATATTTGTTATTTGGGCACAGACTTTGGCAGAGTTGACATCCCCCTCTTGATTTAACATCATTTCTCTCTGGTCATAGCTGAAGTTCTGGAGTCTTTTTCGAATTGTATCTATCTTTTCTAGCATACCTTTCTTAGTAATTGGATGAACTTGAATAAAGCGATTGCCCATGTATTGTTTATGATGACACAGAGCAGCCTTATAGTCAGCCTCATTCCTAAACTCTACGAAGCCTTCACCAGTTGCGTTCCCATTGGGTCCATAAGCTATATAAATACTATCTTCCACAATATCCAACTTTTTAAAAAAATCAATGACATGTTTGTTTTGTGCTTCAAATGGCAGCCCTTTCAAGTAAACACAAAAACTAGCCTCATGTGGTGATCTTGACCTTGACCTTTTCTGCCCACTGGGCGATTTTGACCTGGGCAGTGTCTGAGGAGGGGGATGGGTTTGTCCAGAAGGTCCCATACTTTGCTTAAAAGTGATTTGTCCTCCAGCAGCTACCCACTGTCTCTCTGTGGCAGGGCTAACTTCCACATAGCGTTGAATCATCAGCATTCTATTTCGTTTCAAAGCTTCAAATGTATCTTGAGGAGAGAGAAACTTAACCAATCCATTCTCATTATTTTGGCCTACAAGATCTTACAACAAATGCACCACATCAACATGAAGCCCATGGAAAAATTCTCTGACATCATTTTCCATTGCAGAAAAGGGCATTCCATGAACACTGACATACAGATCTTCAAGGTTGATGGGAAGAGGCTTCACACTGCTTTGAGAGTTCATCTGGATAGGGTTAACAGGATTCAAAGGACCCAAAAACATAGGGTTCAGGTTATTGTTCAGATTTATAGGTGCTCCAGAGCCATTCATTCCAGCAGGTAAAGGTGCCATGGGTGGCAGATTCAAGGGTGGCATGCCTGACATGGGTGGCAGTGGGGTCATGGGTGGCACAGAAGGGACTGGTGGAATTGGGGGCACAGGAAGCAAAGGGGGCAATGTAGGTACTGGAGGAGGAACTGGTATTGGGGGAATGGATGGCATTGGTGGCAAAGATGGCATTGCTGGGATTGGAGGAATAGGTGGTGGTGGGACTGTGTTCATTGGAGAGGCTGTACTTGGAATGGTTGAGCTGAATGTTGGGCTCCCAAAAGAAGCCCCCATACTTAGAGGAGCAGTTCCTATGCTGGCTGTGGAAAATGTCTATATGTTTTTGTTGCTTTCATGAACAGAAGTGGTAGCAGTAACTACACTTGGTGAAGGATTATTAAAGTTAGGTACTGTTGTAGGCAAGTTTACCCTGCCACTCATTCCTGAGCTAGGTGGTGGTCCTGATCTACTAGCATTTGCTGGTGGTATATCTAGGTTGGCAGTTTCAAACCGCCTATGATTCAGTTCAATCATATTCTGCATTTCCGTTTTACTACTCAACAATAGTGTTACTTTTGACCCTTTAATTGTACCACCTGTGTGCATCATACCAAGCCTTGCATCTTCATCAGTGGCAAAAACGATGAAAGCCTCATCCAGTTCACCCCCTACAATATGCACGCCCCCATCAGGAATGGTCAATCCAGAGAAGAAGTGGCAAATGTCCATGGTCCCTGCCACAATTGGGAGACCTTGCAAACGGATGACCTCAGCCATGCTGCACTGAAACCATACACACCTGATAAAACAAGAGAGAGATATTTTCTTAACAAGAAGCAGAGGCCAAGTCAATCCTGTGGGCAACCAATTAATTAATCCAGCTTTTAGATGGGGAGAACTCACGCGGCACCAGAACCCAGACCTGAGTTACACCCCAACCCCCCCAACTCCCACCCACCCCCACCCCCACCCCCACCCCTGCTCCAGTGCCTGAGCCCCGAGGCCGGAGCCCACAGCAGCCACCACCTCCTACACTGCTTCACAAAATTCATAGTGGAAATTTTTTTAAATATATTTTAAAGATAGCTGTCAGTGCCTTCTAAATACCCAGTAGGAGGAATCTAGAAATCCATAATTGTGGGAGACCAACCTTGCACATGACTGAGTCACACTCCCCAGCTGGGTGCTGAGGTGTTCAGTCACAGAAATGTGGCAGAGCTTTCCCCACCCTTCTTGGGTTCGAGGGACAGTGTCTTGTGCATGGGTGTGTCTTGCTACAGCCCCATGGGTGGAGCTACGCTCACCTGTTCCTTTGTAATATAACCCCTTGCCCTGTTTAGGATAGAATCTTCCATGGAAGTACCTTGTGTGTGTCCCCTTCTCTTACTGCACCCTCAGGTGTGGCCTACCCAGATGTCCGTCAACCTGCTGACAGTGAACATCATGAAGATAGACTCAGCCCCCTGAAACCTGACCCCTTGCCTCACTTGAATAGCTTCTCCTCAATAAAAGGGGTCAGCGCGTTTGTCTCTCTCTCTCTCTTCCTGCAGACCCTTAAGGTCAGAGGAGCCCTCAGAGCAACCCCAGTGAAAAAGGTATTTGTCTCTTGTGTGGTTATTTTATGCAGCCCAGTCAGCCCAGTTTACCTGGAGTGACCCATGAGCCTTTTAGTCGTGAGAACAGAAAATAGGCACATAATAAAAAGGGGAAATGAAAATTCACTAATTGGTAGAGAGCAAAAAACAATTCAAACAATTTTTTGATCAAAGAAAAAAGCACAAAGGATATAAGAAAATACATAGATATAAATAACAATGACAACACACTGTACCAGAATTTATGGGATGAAGTAGGAATAATGACAAGGGTGGTGTATTAGTCAGTGTTCTCTAGAGGAACAGAATCAACAGGAAGTATGATTATAAAAAGGAGATTGATTAGATTGGCTTACTTGACCAGAAGCTGAGTAGTCCCCATTGGCTGTCTGCAGGCTGTAGAGCTGGAGGAACCAGTAGCTGCAAAAGTGGCTGAAGCCCCAGAAACAAGAGAAATCAATAGTGCTCTTCTAGTCTGAAACAAATGACTTCCAGAAACTCTCTGGACAATCACTGGCAGAGTCCACTTTGGAGAAGTGAAACAGCAAGAGTCTGATATCCTCAAGTGATGGCAGCAGCAATCAATAACCTGTTCTAGAAGAATTGCACTTGCATCTGCTGCAGCTTCCTTGTTCTTCCCCCTTTTATTCCATCCAAGCCACCATCCTATTGGATGATGCTGACCACACTAGGGAGGGTCTCCACTTCAGTTGGCTATCCCACATGCCAATAATTCCTAAACACCTCCTCATTGACACACCCAGAAGCCTCTTAATCATTGGCAACTCTTAAGCCTATCAAGTTGGAGGAATGCTAAAGTTAACAATGCTTACCAAGGCTGAATCAACAAGAAAACCAGAGCAAATCTATAACTACGACTGAGATTAAATCCTTAAATATGGCAGGAGCACCCCTGAGATAGACTTGGAGGAAACAGAGCACAGGGTGGCACAGGAAGATAATTTCTCAAGCTGGGTGCTCAAGTCTCCTGTGTATCTGCTTGGAGAAACAGCATGTGGAACCCCTGGTATACTAGTTACCTGTCTACCACACCTATACCCAGAAAAGCCACCAAGCCATCCTGCCAATAAGCAAAGCAAGAACAATGAGGGAGGACTCCCTTAGATCCAATCTTGACCCTCTTGGATCTGGACATGGTCTCTCACCACCAGCAGTCTGAGTCTCCTTGTTCCCCAACATTCCCAGCAGGAGTACTATAAAACAAAGAATTTCACGTTTTGGCACAATTTTATTGAGAAAACAAAAAGAAATGCACAAAAGCTGAGAGGCCTCCATGGTGGACTAGCAAACACACAAGCACTCCTTTGTAGGTGATCCCTTCCAAAACATTCCTCTAAACAAGAGTTGCAGGGGAACTCTCAGCCCTCCTGGGTCTCAAGGGTGGCAGATTCAAGCAGCCTAGGGGATTCCTGTGCAGAAGGTCCAAATCCACTCCCAACTACCCTGGCTTGTCCCCTGGCAGCTGGCAGGGGCAGGAGGAAGAGTCCTCTTACAAGGGTCACCACCACCAATGGTCTTTGGCTCCAGACATCCCTCACCTGTGCACCAGGAACACGACAATGGGTGACAGATGGAGGGGCACCTTTAAGACCCACAACTTTTCTGGGGGCCCTGGGGCATCTTCTGGATTGCAGATGCCCAGTCCAGGACAGGAGGCTCTGTGTCCTTGTGCAAGGTGCTGTGTGCTCTGGGAAAATCACCTTTTCCTAACCCATGCCAGGAAACACGCCCTCGGGTGTGGAATGCAGGTTGCAGTGGAAGTCTTGGCAGTCATAGGAGATATCTGGTGAGTGGATGAGTGGATGTAGAAGGACAGCATCAAGGGACCAGGATATATTGAGCTCAGGCCTCTTCAACCCTGGCGCCTGATTTGCAGAATTCCAAGCCTGTGGCACACAGCAGGGAAAACATTGCTTCATGGCTTTGTGGGCCTCAGACCAAGCATCACCAAGTATGTGGGACTTAGTAGGCAGTAGTTTGGGTATTCTTAAACCCCTTTGGCCTCCAGGGACTTTCTAACTACAGACTGGAAGCATGGGTAGTGTTGGCTTCAATCCTAAAAGGAAATACCATCACAAAGCTTAGTTAATGAGATTAACAACAACAAAAAAAAACCTAGCATCTGTTAGTTTGTGTAATTGGGAGGCAGTCTTGCTCCATACAAGTCACTGAAAAATAGACATTTTTCTTCTGGCTTTAGCAGGGTTATCAGCACAATACCTAGATTCTCACAACATGGTTTGGTTGTAACCCTTTTCCTACCTGAACTCTGCCTGCATGGTACAATACTTGTGAGTAGGAATACTTCCAAAAAGTAATTTAAAAATGGAAAATGAGTTTTGGGTTTCAGATCTGTGCTGGAATCTGATTGATCTATTATCTCATACCCCATTCTGTCCAATTCATATCTTGAAAAATGAGTCACCAATATAAGAGGAGGACTTGGGACTCTTTGGAGTAGGTGTGGTTATAATCCCCCATGACAGGTATTCATGATCCATAATGGAGATTAAAAAAAAAAATATTTTAAAGATAGTTGTCAGTGCCTTCTAAACACCCAATGGGATGAAGCTAGAAATCAATAACAAAAAAGGGGAAATGAAAATTCACAAATTTGTAGAAAGCAAAAGGAAGAAAGCACAAGACCAAGTAGAAAATACATAGATGTGAATAACAATGAAAATCACATTGTACCAAAATTTGGGAGATGAAGCAGAAACAGTGATCAGGAAGGTGTATTAGTCAGGGTTCTTCAGAGGAACAGAATTAACAGGAAGTATGATTATAAAAAGGGGGTTTATTAGATTGGCTTACTTGACCAGAAGCTGGATAGTCCACAAAGGCCATCTGCAGTCTGGAAAGCTTTCTGCCTTCTGACTTGTTCCTCCAGGAGCCCGTGTTACGGTTTTGATGTGGTGTGCCCCAAAAGCTCACGTGTGAGACAATGCAAAGTTTGGAGGAGAAATGATTGGGCTAAATTAGCCTTGATTTAATGGGTGAATGAATCCCTAACGGGATTGACTGGTAACTGGAGGCCGGTGGGGTGTGGCCTGAGGAAGGGATTCCCTGGGGGCGTGGCTATGGGATTTCCGTTGCTATGTGGTGGGTGGAGTCTCCTACCTAAAACCGAAAGGATTAAATGCCAAAGGAAATTGTAGCCTAATAACAAACCCAAATAAACGGAGCTGAATGGGAACTGAACCTACAAGTGTCGGAGATCGCTGCCTGGCCCCTAGGTCTCCTGGCAATTAGCCTTGCCGCCCTGAGAAACAACACTGCGGCCCAAGGCGCTGTTCCTATCAGCCAGGGAACCAGGACCAAACAGCGCAGGAGACGCCAGGGTCTGGCAAAGGGCGTTGCTGTTGTCAAAAGAACGCCTCTTTGGGCAGCGTTTAGTCGTTTAGTCCGGCGGTCACAGAGAAGCAAGGAGCTTTGGGAGAGGGTGTGGCAGCTCCATCCACAGACCCAGCTAGGAGAAATGCCATGGCTCGGTAGGAAACTGGTGCTAGTAACAGGGCACTCTTGTGGTACTAAGAGAGCCAGATACTGCACAGCGGCCGGATGCAAACGCCGGCTCCATACCGCATAAACGGGCAAGAGGTGATTTGTGCAAAGACTACAGTGATGCCGGCCGGAACAGCCGGCTCTGGATCTCTTAGGTTCAGTTCCCCTTCAGCTCCGTTTATTTCGGTTTGTTCTTCAGCTACGTTTTCCCGTCGCGTCTAATCATTTCTGTTCTATGTACAATCTAAATTTTTATTGTATTGTTTTCGCCTACTGAGTTCCAGGAGTTTGCTATCACTGCATTTTAGCTGGCTTGTCCCCGCCCTCTGCCTGGAAAACCATAAATACTCGGGATGGCGATGGTGCGGAGGCTCTGCCTGATCTCTCCATCAGCGCAGAGGCTTCTGTCCTGTTTCTCTGAGGCTCACGCTATGGAGTAGCATTTTCTGGGCACTATGAAGCAGGCTTGGGATTCCGCGGAGGTGGCGCCAGACCTGCGGTCTCCTGCTGTGCTGAGCTTAGAAGCCGGTGGGCCTTGGCCTCTTCCTTGCTACCCTGTCCAAGGAGAGTTCACCGTTGACAACTGCGATTTCGACTGGGAGCGGCTCTCTAGTCCTGTTGGCGGGGGCGCGGGATCCACCTGCAAAACGGATTCCG